TGAACAGAAGGCAGGAGGGGAGGGGGCAGAGATAAAGTTGAGTGAAAGAAAGGAAAAGGGCTTCTGAAGAGCAGATAAGATTGTTCTGCAGCTGTAACTCTCTGCCCACTTAATTGGGAATAAAACTAGCTCATTTGCATTTTTATTCCATACTTACTATAATAAGTCCACAAGGAAGTTCACCAATAAAAAAAGCAATTTAAAATTAGCAGCAGATGGCTTCAAATCATCCATTATCCCCAGCAGGGAGAGAATGCAATCAGATGACAGACCAAATCCCTGGGTCTAAGCCCAAAATGAAGGTTATCGCATAGAGGCTTAGATGGGCATTCCTAAGGAACAACTTCCAGATTTGGGGCAGCCATTAAAAAGGCCCTCTTTTGCGACCTCACCAAATTCACGTCTGATATTGATGAACACTGCAAAACTGGCTTCTGAAGATCTTGCAGACTAGAGAATACAGAAGAAGAATCCTGCTGGACCAAGAGTTCATCTATCCAGCATTCTATCACTGACCAGTCAGTCAGGAAGATCAGCCAATCGAAGTCCTGCCCCTGCAGATATTCTTGACCATCACCACATCTTATGGATATATAATTTAGCTATCCATTGTGTAAAAAGTAATTCATTTCATCCCCCCTCATATTTAATGGGTGAAACCCCCCAAAGTTCTAACACCATGGGAAGGGAGATAAATGTGTTTTTACCCACATTATCCACACCATGCATAATTTCATACACTTGTATTATGTCTCCTCTTACCTGAGTTCACTTCAAGCTAAAAAGCCCAAGATACTGTGGTCTTGGCTTCTAGGGCAGCTGCTTTGGTCCCCCATTTTTTTTCACTTTTGCCAACTCTACAGTATCCTTTTTCAAGTATGGTAATATAATTGGGGCCAGTATTGTCAGTACAGCCTAACCATGAATGTATACAAGCACATCACTATATTGATGGTTTTATTTTCTATTCCCTTCCTAATGATTCCAAGCATGGAACTTGCTTTTTTACAGCAGTAGCATATAGGTCTAGCTATGACTCCAACATCATTTTCTGATAGTTATGGCCAGCTCAGTTCCTATTCATATACGGGTGAACTTTGGACTTTTTATGCTAACGGACATCCTTTTGCATTGGCTTCCACTGAGATGCATCTGCCATTCGGAGGTCCATTCAGCATCCTGGCCAATTTTGCTTTAGTAGCCTTTGGTGTATATTGTAACATGATGGTGCTATGTGTCAAACTTTTTCTCTGATCCAGTTTGTAAACTTATTACTGTGTGGATTAATACATGAATTAATAAATGTCATCTTTCACTACTGCATTTGAATAGGCACTTTTATTAAAGAATGAAATCACTTATATCTACTGTCTCACCAGTACTGGAACAAGATTTTTGTCCACCAAATGGAGTGAGACCCCAGTTGCTCAGTTAGAGAAATGAGACCTGGAGAGTGCTGCAGTGGCTGCGGCATCAGACACACTCCGTTGATCTGCTGAGTAAGTACCATTGTGACCTCCAGACTGAAAGGAAAGATGACTGGCTGAGATTATTCCCATTCAGATGAACTCTGTGCAAGCACCTCATTAGCCTAACTAAACAGCTATTTTGGGGTCTTTTCCAGAGGAACATTTTAGATGCAAACTAGGAACAGAAGTACATTGCACAGGAATTAAATTGCACTCACCTAAGAACTCGATGTTTGCCTTCCAAACAATGTCTTTTGAATCTTGGGTTTGATGAATAAGCCATCACGCTTGGGTTTATGCAACATATTAAGCCAGAACTAAACAAACTATATTATGATTTAGTATGATAAAAGAACCCAGTCACAAGAGGCAATTCTTGGATGTTTCAGCCAACCACTGCTGAGTATGAGCAAACCAGCCATTTGGGCTACCAGCATAGAGAGGAGCCTCACAAAGCAAAGTTATGCATCCCTTCTAGAAGGCAGGAACAGTGACATACAACCTGTGTACAAAATGTTCAAGACTAGTCATCTACCGAAAGCAGACAATGCATTTTGTGTGAGACCTTAAGAACTTCTGCCCCTTGTCAGAAAATCAGTACAAGGCTTAGATGCCCAAACTCTTTGGCCTGCTTGGCTGTGGGGGACACACTGCACCCCTGTGTCCTCACAAAGTTGCAGAGCTTGCAAAGAGATTATCTTTGAATTCAGCCACTTACTCCAACAAAAATGGCACAACAGTAGTTTTGGAGTGCTTCCTTT